GGCCAGGGGCCGGGTGGAAGGCTTCCCCTGGAGGTGGGGCAGCTCCAGATCCAGAGCAGCAAGAGGCTGATCAGGATGAAAAAGAAGGTGAAGTCAAACAGCACCATGGTCCTCGCTCTACCTGCCATCCACTCTTCTTTCTCCCTTGTAAGGCAGGCTGCTCTGTTTGTTGCTTTCCTCCTGTGGTCAGTAGAGGGGGTGTGTGTGCCAGGAATCTATCTCAGCAGAAATCCTAGTAAGTCTCCAGAGAATAGAGGGAGCCCAAGTTTATAGGCCTCGCAGATTCTGTGTTCAGTATCTTGGGGTGAATCTGAAAGCCAGCCTCCCCTTCACCACTGGCTGGCTAGACATGTCTCCATGGGCAAAACACTTAAATGTACACTTCTCAAGAAAATGTGCTAGTGCCAATGGGCAGGACATGTGGAGGCCAGTCCCACAGTGAGGATGGCTCTAGGAGCAAATGTCATGCAGGGTGAGAGATCAAGTGTAACTGGAAGTCAGATTTGGAACCCTTGCCCCTTAGGGGATGGGAATGTTTTCTGACTTCAGAATAAAGTGGGATATAGAGAAGGTGACATGATCTGAAAGCAGAGGTCTGGATTCAATCGAAGGGGGAGCTTAAGGGGTGGCTGATTTAGCTAATCTTTCATCCATTCATTCATACCTCAGCAAAGGTTTTCAACAGCTGTCACATGCCCCACACCTAGGTGCTAAAAGTGGAACAGTGAAGAAGATGATGGGTTGACCCTTCATGGAGCTGGTATAGAGGTGTTGGATATGCTCTCACCAAAGGTCTCTCTGAAAAGGTCCCAGGGACCTGACAACTGATAGGTCACACACTAAATGGCAGAGATAACTTCCTCACCAGCAGTGATCAGGCTTTGCAGGTTTATTTGCTACTCAGGAGATTTAAAGTAAAATATGATGGAGTTTTTGGTGCAAATATAGAGTCACACATTTCAAGGGATACAGGTTGAGGGAGCCCTTTCACATAGAAAAGAAGTGAGAAGCAGCTAAGGAGGAGAATGAGGGAGGCCAAAGGCAGCACATGACTACTGTCTTCACATTGCATGCCTCCAAAATGTTGTGTAATATTTTTTTAAAAATAAGCAAAACATCACATTGTGTATAATTGTATTTATATGAAACATCCAGAGGACCAGAAGATAAGTCCACTGACACAGAAATCAATTTGGAGTTTTCAGGGGCTGGGGTAAGGGGAACAGAGAGTAGCTGCTTAATAAGTACAGGGCTTTTGGAGAAAGTAACAAAAATGTTAGGAATTACAGAGTGATATGTGTACAACCATGTAAATGAACAAGGTA